TGTTACCATTTATCCTAGACTGTCCAGGATGTGTGTGTATGTGTGTGCAATACTTTCCAATACACTGGCTGCAATTTCAGTAAAGCACAATTTATTTCTTGTTATTATCCTCTTATTGTAAAAACATAACATCAATTTCACTACACACAGGTAGTATAGGTTGTCCTTGACTTACAACATTCATTTAATGTCTGTTCGAAGCTACAAAGGCATTGAAAAAGTAACATATGAGTGATTTTCATACTTGCAGCATTCCCCCCATGTGATCAAAATGTGGATGCTTCAGCAATTGGTGTGTATTTATGATGGTTGCAATGTCCCAGGGTCGTGTGACCCACCTTTTGCAAACTTTGCAAGCAAAGACAATGGGGAGGCCAGATTCACTTAACAACTGTGTTATTAATTTAATAACTGCAGTGATTCACTTAACAACTGTGGCAAGAAAAGTCATAAAATGGGGCAACACTCACTTAACAACTGTCTTGCTTAGCAACAAAAAGTTTGGACTCAGTTGTGGTCATAAGCTGAGGACCCACCTGTACTTATTTTCTTCCTTCAATGGCCTCCTTTGAATGTATATTGCATTAAAATATGCATTCAGTATATAGCAGGGATCACCAACTTTTTTGGATTGGCAGCCTGGTGGGAGAGGGAGGGGCAGGTGACTTTCGCATGCATGCACAAACATGAATATGGCCACATGTGCACATGCACATACAAACAGGCTGTGAGCATGCGCACCACGCAAACAGGGCTTCAAGCATGCATGTGAGGCTCTCAGTGATGGTGGCAGCTGTATGAGGCTTGTGGCGCTGACACTGCCAGGCTTGCAGCAATGCTACCACCAGCATGAGGCTCGCACCACAGCCCACAACAATGCCGCTCTGGCAGGAGGTTCATGTCACCACTCTGGTGTGAAATTCGTGCCACCGCCACTGTGCAAGGATTGCACCACGGCCCACAGCAATGCAAGGCTCACACCGCCACCTTGGTTCGAGGATCGTGCTGTGGCCCATCTGCTGCTGGTGGTGCTACTATACCTCATGCAAGGTTCATGGCAATGCCATCGCCCACACGATACTAGCTGTCTGCCACCACCTGCACAACACTTGTGGCAATGGTGGCAGGAGGGGGGTGAGCACATGCACATGTGAGTGCACTGCCCAGCGACTCACACAGCCTGGCAGCCAAGAGGCCATGGCCTGGTAGTGGGCTGCGGCCCATAGGTTGAGGACCTCTGGTATATAGTATTAAATAAAACAGATTAATGAGATCCTTGGCAAGCATTGTGAAGCACTTTTGAAATGGTAAATTCTCTCTTCTCCCCCAATTTAGCTTCTCTCATCCTTTCCTGTCAAATAGTTGATCGGAAAAATTAACATTTTCAAGACTGTACACCCTCAGAAATTCTAGTTGTGGTGCATTGAAATGTGACACTACTGAGTTAATATTTTTGTTTCCATTCATTGAAATCCAAAGATCATAAACTCATCTAAACCAGTTTAAGATTCACTACAAATACTCTTAGCATTCAGCAATAATAATTAAAAAAGTAGGTACATCACACAGATGCATCGGAAATTAAAACTGCAATTTGTCAGTATGTGTCTGTCAGTTTCCAAGTGTGTTGATACTAAATAATTCATATTAATTCATTAATCTCTCACCCTCCTTCTCAAACAACAGCAAAATGATTTAATGACAGGGAGTGGGGAGGAATGAATAAAATAGTATGCTTTGGAGTATTTTATTGTGGGCTGAAATCACAGCTCACCAAAAGTTATTACTTTTCATGACTCTGACATTTGGCTGAAAAAGAAAACTAGATAATCTTGAAGTCTGTCAAACCAGAAAAAGAAAAGATTGGGTCACAGCTTGTCATTCACACCTCTAGAATCGCGATGAGGTATAATAGCTACAGAATAACCGTAATTGCAACTTGTGAACAAACCTTAAGACTACCTGGAATAAGCATACTACCTCATTTCTCCTCTCTATAGGAGAGAGAGGAAGAACTTGTTCTTTAAATATAACATAAGATATCTTCCTTCCTTCCTTCCTTCCTTCCTTCCTTCCTTCCTTCCTTCCTTCCTTCCTTCCTTCCTTCCTTCCTTCCTCAGACACTTCTAAAATATTTTTATGTCAAGTTACATAGCATGACCATCAAGATTTCCCAGTGACTGAGCATCAGATTGGACATTAAATGCATAAAGTAGTATGAAAAAAGTAAAATTAGCAATATTTTGAGCAAATGCACTGAATTTTATCTTGGTAATATAAAGTGACTCATTCTAAGTGAAAATTCCAACTTTTTTTCTCAAATAGTAAATCTCGTTTTTCAGACCAGAAATGTGGCAAGTCAATCTAAGTTCACTAAGACTATGAAAGTAATCTTAAGTTACTTTCCAAGTACCACAACTTTTTCTGAATGTTCTAGAGCAGGGGTGTCAAACTGCCAGCCCGTGGGCCAGTTGCATCATGCAGAGGCTGCTCCTACCCCAGCTCCAACAATATGTTGTGACATGTCATATGACGTGGTGAGTTTGACACCCTTGTTCTAGACCAGGGGTGTCAAATTGCCAGGCCAGACTCGTCACGAGGAAACCACGCCCATCCCATTGCCGGCAATGGGGAAAAAGTTCCGATACGTCGCGCGATATCAGGTGACATTGCGAGTTTGACATGTCTGTTCTAGACCCATTTCAATGAGCAGAATTATGCACATCACTAGATCTAACAGTTTTGACTCCAGTCCTTACAAGAATTAGCCCTTGTATCACATAATGTATACATGCAATCTTTCATCATGAATTATATTATTTTTCCACCTTTCTATTCACATCTATTTATGTGCAGATCAAATCATTCAAAGTCCAGGTCATATAGCATTGCATTATGAGTTATATTATTTTTCCACCTTTCTATTCACATCTGTTTATGTGCAGATCAAATCATTCAAAGTCCAGGTCATATAGCATTGCATTCCTCTTAAAGTATTATTCTATACTATTCATTTTATGTATGTATATTATTTAAAACATCTGCTAAATAATATGCATACCTATATTCATAGATTTGGACACTATAGTTCTGGTCTCAGTTTTCCTTAATGAATACTTGTTATAAATAAGAAATCTCTAATATATGCATTTTTTTTTTTACAGCTAAGCTAATATACACAGTTTTGTAAGCAATTGTCATGTGGAGGGCTTAGAACTTTGAAGGATAGGAGCTGCTACTAAGACGATGGTTACGTAAGCAGCTTTTATAAGCTTGCACTTGAGCCAAGAAAATAACTTGAGAAAATGTTGGAAACAAGTTTTTCCCTGGTTCACATAAGAATAAAGAGGAGGAGAGAAGCACACTCAGACTTTATACCATCTAGTAACAGATAAGATTCTGTTACTATCGATTAGTAATCCTAATCTATAGTACATGGCATTGGTTTCTTAGTCTGATCTATCCTGTAGTGGTGATAATTCAGAAATGAATGTTATTTCTGAATCCATTTTTTCCAAATACTTTATTCAAATATATGAAGAGAACAGCACAGATATAATTAGGGCACATTACAGTCCATCTAGGATATGTCAAAGACTATTTTGAGAGTTCGCACCAATATTTTCTGCTGAATTCTATTTCTGTTTTATTTTCATATCTTGATAATAAACACTTTCTTTTTTATGAGCTAGTTACAGAGTTCAGTTTTAAAGGGCTAATTAAATATAGTTTAGAGAATATTAGTCTCCACTGTAGCAGTGTATAATTGGCCTTTGCTTATCATGGATGCTAAGCAAGTTGAGACTGGGTTAATATTTACATGGAATTCTTCCAGGAAATACTAGGATTGGAGGCAAGGAAGTTGGGGAAAAATTCTTAGAAGCTGATGACAAACCATTTCCATATTATTCCTAGAAAATGGGTTCATTCATTCTCGATCAGGCTCCTGAGATTACAAGAGACAATGCTTTCTCATTATTAAGGGATTAAGCTTGCTGATTTAACAGAAGAAATATCTCCTTGTTCCATACTCTATACCCCTGGGATTTTTTTTGCTATTGGTTTTTGATTTAGCAGCAAAGTCAACAGGTAAAAATATTGACTGCTTGCAGCTCATACATGTGGTTTCTTGCTTTGCCTTTGAAAACAAACAATGCTGTTATGTTGTTCTTACCTTAGTTACCAGCTTTATACAGTATGTGCTTATAGTATCCTCTTCTATACTTATAGCACACGTAACATGACCCATTTGTCTAGTGAAATGCTATTGTAGCCCCATGCTTACAAGCAAAGAAATTAATTAGTACTGTATGTTCATTTCAAACTCAGTGAAACCTGGATTCCAATATGTTTTGATCAAGTTCAATGGACGCTGCAATTATATTACCTTAAAGGTTATGGCTTGGCACGTGGCTAGAAGGAAAAGAAATAAAAGCAGTGGATCATTGGAGTCGAAAAGTCTGCTCTCATATCAAAAATGATTGTTGAGATCAGGGTAGATCCTAACCCAAAATTGTTTAACTCCCTCACCTTATCCTATGTTGGGCAAAATCTAGGGCTTACAGCTCTGTGTAATTTCATCATTTGCTCCATGCCTTGCTGTTCATACTAATTATTAGTTCATATGCTAATTAGTTCTGCAATGTTCTTTTGGAGCTTCTTAATTAGTTAATGTTGCCTTTGCCAAAGAGAATCATTGCCTCACACTTTCCACTATTAAATCCCTAACAGTTGGATCCATTGTATTGTGGGAAGAAAGTAATATTTTTCAAAAAATACCACTTCCCTTTGCACACAACTTCAGGGAACATTTCCAGATGAAGATCTGTGGGTTCAAAATTAGATGCAGAACACTGGGATCCCAGGATATCAGTGGACTTTGGCAGTTGAACTAATGTATTTCCTGTTCAGCTGTGATATAACCAAAACCACACATACTCGCCTACAAATTACCTGTCTAGGAATTGTCAGTTTTGCTTTTGGATGAAGGAAATTCTTGACTTACTTCTTTTGTATTCTGAACTCCAGTCATTCTAGCAGTTCCTGTAAGAGAAATGTTTAGTGTAGTGAAATTGACAGTGTGAAATTCTGCCTCTTCCTTCTATTGTCAGAAAAAAAGCAGACATGCGATATGCGTTATTTTATTTTATTTTATTTTCATTCTTTTGTGGGGAGAAAGGAGAAGGGATTTAGTTTACTCCCACTAATTTGAAAAAGGGCAATGTGGAAGTATCTTTTCAGTTAATGCCAGCACCTGCAATATTATAAATAAATAAATGGATCCCAGTTCATCCAGACACTTTAGCCCACTTTAGACATAGGTTAACTGACAAAGAGTTAAAGGGAGATTAGTATAGTTATTTCAAGCAATTATCATCAGCTAACCATACCTTTCTGAGATTCGAACCTGGGCCACTTGCATGTTAGGCAGCTGTATTAACCTTTAGGCCATAGGCTCTCCTCACTTCTGTCAGCTGAACCAGGGAGGATACATAGTAATAGAACACCTAATAGTATATATAGTGTATATACATATGTGTGTGTGTGTGTGTGTGTGTATAATATGTATATGCACAATATATATAGACAAGTATTTTGGTAAATAGGTTATAGTTTTTGTCTGCAAATGACCAGAAAAACGTTCATAATATATACAGAAATGCATGTTTATTGATGGAGAATGGATAGATTTTTTTTCCAGTTTCCAGTTGATCAACAATACACAAGAAGTGACTTTTTTTCTTGTAAAACTATAATGCAGTAGAGGGTTACAAAATAGCTTTCTTACATTTTGAAATTCAATCCTGATCCTCATAAATGTCATTTAGATATCAACAATAGAACAGGAGGGAAATAAAAACATGAAATACAACCATACATTATACATTTAGCCTTTTATCAACATATTAATGCCAAGTATTTGATGTATAACTCTGGTAGTAACTTCCTGTTGTAGTCATTATTTTGTAAGAGATAAATATTCTTCTTAAAATACAGTTTGAAGGTAAATAAAAGAAAGGTTTATTTATGATTATCAAATGAAAAGATGGCAGAAGTGAGATTTGAATCCAGAGCTTCTTGATTCATAACTCAGGTTCTTAGCCATTGGATTAAACCAATTTTTGATTCAGTGTTGTTACATGCCTTACCTTAATTACTGAGAGGATCCAAACTGTTTTAATCACTTAAAACCATGTGAAACAGCATGTTTTGAATGAGCAAAAGCAATCACTTGTCCAGGAGTAAAATGTAACCAGGAGAATGTGGTTCATGAAGGCCGCCAAGCTCAAATCAGTGGAATTCAGTGATCAAATGGCAAACTCCAGTGGACTTATTCTGCTATTCCCCTCCCATTTTTAACAAACCAAGTTCTAAAAGAAGTATTTGTTAAGCTGAATACTTTAACTTTCAATAACTTTCAATGTCCTGGTTTCTTCTAAAGATTATTAAACATTTTATTTTCTTTCCCTCTGTTGATGATCAGTTGATCCACTACCACCAATGCATGTGATCTTTTAAAAACAAAAGAAAATGAAAGAAAATGAAAGAAAGTTCAGCTTAAAGTTTAGATTTAAGAATGATATGTTTTTTTTCCTCATATGATGAAACACAAAGCTTATAATTTGGGATAGGTACATTGGTCTTTGAGCCCATGTATGCTTCTTTTCTCACATGTAAGGTCAAGGTATCTTGAAACAACGTGGGGTTCTTTGAGGTTGTACAGGCCCAAGTTCTAGCACAACTCACCACAGCCAACTCACTATGGCCAACATGCCATGGCCAACTCACCATGGCCAATATGCCATAGCATCTTACTGTGGTCAACCCAGCCATCTCAACACAGTGATCTTTCTGCAGCCAATTCACTGCAGGACAGTTCACCATGGCCAACTCATTGCAAGACAACTTACTGGGAAACAATTCCATGCAAGTTAACTCAGTGCACTAGATGCTATTAGCCACTGTTTATTTGATATTGACAAAAATGGAAATAATGTAGACCTTGGAAATCTTCTAGTCCAGCCCCCTGCTCAATCAGGAGTCCCTATCATCTCAGACAAGTGTCTGTCTAGTCTCTTCTTAAAAACCTCAAGTGTTGAAGCATCCACAATGTCTGAAGACAAGCTATTCCACTGGTTAATTGTCCTCACTGTTAGGAAGTTTTTCCTTAATGTCAAGTTGCTTCTCTCCTTGATTAGTTTCCATCATTATTTCTTGTCTTGCCTTCTGGTGCTTTGGAAAATAATATACGGTGGTTTTCCCCATCTAGATATTGGGGAATGATATTACCCAATTGTGTTTATAATAAATAGCTGCTGCTCTATGAGAGGCAGGATTTTGAAATACTGGGAATTAGACTGAAATAACAAAAGCACTATGCCTTGGTTTGGCTTTTAGGAATCAAGAGCAATGTTTTTTCTTAAAGTGCTGAGATCAGAATTCTGGGGATTTAATGGGTGTCATGGGGAAGGTTTGCTATTACTTTCTTCAACACTAGAGCAGTTATTGTTCCTGTACAAAGCTAATAAATTCCAAGGGGAAGGATTACAAAGATCTTCATCTAGAATTCAGTAAGTGCAGATGGTTGCTTTCACACTATTTTACAATGATTACTGATCCATCCTAAACTGTATTTCTTCTGTGAAGATTCCTTTTAATTAATACAAATGTACACAAAAAGAAGCCAATTTTTATCTTCACTCAAATTGGCTGTTTGGAAACTGGGAATACTTCTTGTTGAGGTGACCGAATTGGAGTTACTTCATTTGGATCGTTAATAGGTAGGCAGCTGCATTCAGCTGTCATCTCCTGATTTCAAAGGAAACATTTTTGTATTTTTAACCTCATCTCTGTTTAAATTCTGCTAAAGCTTGTAGTAAGCTAGGAGAGGCAAATTGATGGAAATCAAGTCCATGTATTTGCCAGATGCCTTCATGTGGTATTCATTTCGGCTAGTTTATCTAAAACAAACAACAAAAGACTAAGAAATTTGGGCTTTGTTATATGGATTTTGCATGCATTATGTTTTTTTAAAATATATATATGGAACTACTGTTCCAATGTTTTTCTTTCTGCTCCATGCTATTTATACAGATTCCATTATACTGCTATATGTAGCCCTTATATGCATTGTTATGCAATTTTTATTCATTCATTTTTTCCAAAAGAATGTACACCGTTTTATAGCTAAGAACAATGAACAGTAAATAGCTTCTTTATTTATACTGCTAGTGCCATGGAAGATTATTATTAGATTATTAGATTTTTTAAAATCCTATCTTTATTACTTTATAACAGGGGTGTCAAACTGCCGGCCCGTGGGCCGGATGCGTCATGGCAAAACCACACCCAGCCCATTGCTGGCAATGGAAAAAAAGTCATGATACATCGCAACACATGACGTGACATTGTGAGTTTGACAACCCTGCTTTATAAATAACTCAAGGGAGCAAACATACATAAAATTACTCACAACAACCCTTTGTGGTGGGATGGGCTGAAAGAGAATGACTGGCCCAAAATCAGCATGTCCTTCGCTAGACAATGACAATTTGACTTGAAAAAGAATTCATTAACTAGCAAGACAGAATTCAAAGTCTACATTTAAAATGTAAAATAGCCTAAAAAACTCTGTATAGCTGTTGGATTAGCTATGGCAATAATCAATTTCTTTTATCAATATAGTTGAAAGAATAACCTAGGATATTAACCCAGTTAAGAGTTTTGTTTGTACAAAGCTCTTAATCTTCACCTAGTCAAGGAAAGGGCTTAGTATGTTATGCATTTTATATACAGTAGGTTGACTGTATTCATTTCTTAAGCTTGTTGTGTTCTGCTCAGAGGATTCTATTTAACAATTATTTTATTAAACAAGCTTTATTTTAGAACTGAGCAAAACTAATATATATATGTGTGTGTGTGTGTGTGTGTGTGTGTGTGTGTGTGTGTGTGTTTTCTGAGGTTTTCACGGGTATTTGTATGTAGGTCTTTGGTTGTTCGGGTATTCTCCCTCGTAAAATTGGAAGTGTCTTGGAGACGTTTCGACGAAGTCCCATTCGTCATCTTCAGGCTGGTGTTTTCAGCTTCGTGCTTTGAGCAGCAATGTGTGGTCTTAGCTGTTTATTCCTTTTAACTGCCAGTGGGGGTATGAACTGATTGGGTGGGAGCTTGGCTGTGTTCTGATTGGGTGGAGGTGTGTTCTGAATGGTTAGGGGCTTGGCTGTGCTCTGATTGGCTGGGGGAGTGTTCTGTTTGGTTGTGCTCAGGTTAGTCTGAGCTGCAGAGGGGTTTAAGATTTTGGGCTGCCTTGCTATTCCTTGGCTTTGCGTTCGTGGTCGTGCCTCCTCTTCATGGAGGGTGTCAGTTTGCTTCATGTATGGATTGGAGGGGTTTAAAGTGGCTAATGATGCAGCTGTGGTCTGGCTTCTGGTTTGTGGTCGTGCCTTGTCATCGGTGTGGCTTTGGGTTTGTTTTTTGCGTGGATGTGTGGTGGTGACATCCTGTGTGGTTTTTGTGAATGTGGGTCTGGTATCATTTTTTGTGTTAGGGAGTCGTTTGTCAATAAGGGCGGGTTTCCAAATGGCTGGTAGGCGGGAGGTATCATCTCGCTTGTTCATGCTGTGTGGGCGTTTTTCTATCTCGATGGCTTCTCTGATTATTCTGTTATTAAAATGTTCACTTTTGGCAATGGTTCTGGTATTTTTAAAGTCAATTTCATGTCCTGTGGCTTTAAGGTGTTGGATCAGGGAAGATGTTGGTTCCTCTTTTTTGTGGTGCCTTTTATGTATGGGAGCCCTCCTCCCATACATAAAAGGCACCACAGACAGAATCAGTAAGATCCTCCATAAACACAACATCAAAACAGCATTCTGCACAAACAGAAAAATATCCACCATCCTTAGAAACCCCAAAGATAAAATTGAATTAGAAAATCAAGGAGTATACGAAATCCCATGCACCACTTGTCCCACCACATACATCGGACAAACCAACAGAAGAATAAGTGCATGCATTGAAGAACATAAGAACTCAGTCAAAAAAGA